GGTTGAGGTAGAGTCTCACTAATGGCATCTTCTATTCCAGTCACTTGACATCAGTACAAGCGTTAGCTCAGAACAGGGATGTACCATTAGCTGGTCCCTTACAGGATAGACCTACGCGCATGGCCTCATTAGCCTACCTAGGTCACTGTTAGAGATAGAGGAATGACAGCCAGGAGGGCAGAGTCATCTGGATTAAAGGGTGGTCGATTCCAGATACACGCTGAGAGGTAATACAACAACAGCACATTCTCATAATCACATACTGAACTACAAAACCGCTGAGTTCTGATAACATGGTAAATGACGTAATGTTTTAAAGGTGCGTGTATTATTTCCCCAGAGAGTAACTAACATACATGTATAAAATAAAACATACTTCTGATTTCTGACTGTAAAAGCTACTTTTATCCACGTAAGGCTACTTCTAGTCTACATTAAAATATATTTTGTAACCCTATGTTTATCCATCAATGTGAATTGCTCAATGGATGGTAACAAATTTATGGGGGATAAAAAAAGTACCATATACCTAAATATCACCTAACCATTCTGAAACACATTTGCATAGTATATAAAAAAATTTCAAAGATTTTTATAAAGAGATACTTTCTACAAATATTATTAGTTTTGTGACTAACAGTAGAACCTTATAGGCTTACCATGTATACTGTGACGGGCAAGGCTACCTTTGTTAAGGACCTGTCTCTTACTACCTCATCACTGAATGTGCTTCTTCAGCAGATGGATACATTACAGGACTCCACAACTGGTTAAAATTCAAAGGACAACCGGCCATGGTATGCCCAAAGAGAAAGAATCCACGAAAGGCTTGGGGAACATCACATGGGGTGGAGAGGAACAATTGTACGAGCCAGAGAACCAGGGAGCTTTAACACATGTCAGGGGAACTGCGCCCATGGCGTCTCAGCAAAGGAGCTGCTTAAACAAGACTTGAAAAATGATATCACCAACCGACATGGTCATGGTAAAGTTCACAAGGTCCAAACTCTGGTTGAAGAGCTACAGGGAAATTAAGGGGGCTGTGAGCGGGGGGGGGGGGGGGGGTGGGGGGAGCCAATCCTTTCAGGAAAGAGGTCCCTACCCCCGATTAGTTACCCAATTCCAAGTAGCAAGCCATAGACACAGATGCCTAGGAACCATGCCAGACACACCAATTCGGCTTCTTCATATACACACACGTGCCTGGATATGGGTCACAAAAATTAAAGAAGAGGTCACGGATTTTGCCTGGAGTTGGGGCATAGGAGGAGGAACTGGAAGGGAAGGAGGAGGGGCGGAAATGATGGGCGCAGAGCACTCACGTATGCAATTCTAAGAAACAAATAAACAACCTGTGTCTGAGGCCAGCCGCTCCCGCCACCACGAATCAGCCCGCTCTCCTAAACGCTAGTATGTGTCACTCCACACACCCCTCTCCGTGTGCTTAACTGGAAGTCAGCACAACCACTCTGCTCCGTGAGGCAGCTGCCACGAAGACGCAAGGTGACAGAGGACGAAGGCAGGCCTCGAACACTGCAGTTTAGGGCTCCTCCCTAAATAGGCTCACCGGATCCAGCCCCCGAGTCCTTGTAAGGAAAACAGTTTACGAACACACCGAACCTTTCTGGTTTATTTTAAATTTTTAGTCTTCTACCCTATCCATTCAGAAACTTCTTAAGCACACCCCCATATCCAAAAAAACCATGACACTGATTGCCAACGGAACGTTTATGAGTGGACAGGATGAAGAGTGGACAGTCTGAAGGGAACTCATTCTACCAAGGTAGGATGAAAAGCCAAGGCATTAGTTTGGAAAACAGACGTCTGTGGCCCCTGAGCGGCCTGGAAAATACATTTCCTCTTAATTTACTTTCAAAAATAATTTTCCATACGTTTGATAGTCTTTCGACTTGCAAGGGAGTTAATTAATAACCACTTCCTGTGACCTGCTAGGAGTTGCTACTCTATTTCAAAATATCATGTTATTCTTAATTTTAATAACCCATTATTGTCTGTGTCATCATTAACCTACTTCCACGGAACAAATATCTGTAATTTAGTTCATTAAGGCGTGCATTTCTCCTATGTAATTTAACCTGACCATGTTATATTTTATTACTGCCAAAATGGGAAAAATATACCCTTAAGCCTGTTTGTGGTGGCTGCAAAATTTGTTAGCCCCGCTCCTGACCCTTTTAAACACTCGGAAGCTACGCACTGCCCCTTGACTTCCTGTCTCTCTCTGTTCTGTTCCCTTGCCATGATTTCTACCCTTTTCCTATAGCTAAGCACATTTGCTACCTGAGCTGTGGCCAGACAGACGTGCAAAGAAAGGAAGCAGGAGTCTGTTCCTTATTTCTGTCTCCTGTCAGTTATGTCTTTTGTGACTTGAGTTAGCCAGATCTGTGCTTCCAAACCGCCTAAGAGTTCAATGTCCTACTCCCTACTCCTCCCTCCCCCAACTCCCCCAGGATTTTCTTCTGGCTCTTTCCTCCTCCATGTCAATTATTTTCCTGTCTTGAGTATTTTTTGTGTTAGGTTTATCCGTTTGTCTTGTGTATGGGTGGGGTGGGTGTGAATGTTGGTCAGGGGATAGTCGGAGGGAGATGGTTCTCTCCTTCTACCCTTGTGGGTGCTGAGGATCAGACGCAGGTCATCAGCTTTACCCTCTGAGCTACCCGGCCAATTTCTATGCACGTCTGTTGACCATTATGTCGCTGCTATTCATTTTCTCCACAAGAACTCTGCTCTCCTCCCTTCCTACTTCATCCCTCACTAAAGCCAACCCCCGTCAGCAATGACGATTCCGGTTTACCCAGGGTTTTGCCTCTCTCTTGAATGTCCCACTGTTCACTCAAATATCTGCTACATCTATAATTACTGGTGAGTCTTAGTCGGCTCTTAATCCTTGTTGAGTGCTTGGTACATCATAGGTGCTCAGCAGATTTTTTTTGTTTTTACTAAATGTTTACCTACTGTGTGAACAAATACCAGAAACACTACACACATTCATGGGCTTTTGCCTACTTGAAACACACTGCTGGGGGTAGATTTCACTAGAAATCTGTCAGTTTCTTGGCACATACTGCTATGGAGTCAGGCTGTCTTACAACTAAGAAGTTCCCAGGTACACGGTAGGCCTGGAAGAGGAAGTATCAAATGGGACAAGGTCACAGTGAAGTTCTCAGAGCGTCGGCTCAACGTTTACTTGGAAGTTCAAATCCTCCTAGGGTCATTTCTGCACAGTATTAGCCCGAGAGCCTTTTAATAATGATGCCCTCAGCCCTCCATTACTACTTTTTGGTTGTATTGTAAGGTTTTCATTTTTAACTTTTTGTGTATGTGTCTGTGTGAGTATTTAACCTATGTGTGAAGCTGCCTTGGGAGGCTAGGGGTGGCGATGGATTCCCCGGAGATGGCGTCACAGGTGGCAGTGATCCGCTTGACATGGGTGCTGGAAACTGCGCTCTGCTCCTCAGGGAGTGGAGCCAGCGCTGTGAGCAGCTGAGCCATCTCTCCAGCCTTGCACGCTTTTTAGTTTGAGACAGGCTCTCACTCGGCTGCCCAAAGATAGCTTTGAATCACTTCTGCAGTCTGTGAAAGCTCTGAACCTGCAGTGTTCCCACTCTGGGCCCCTGAATGGCTGAAATTACTGGCCCACATCCCCGGCCTGGCTTTGAACCACAAAGTTTTGCTTTCTTTGCATTTTAGCATGAGGGTCATGCTATTGTACTTCAGGTCCTCCCTTTAAGATCTGGAAGTTCTCTCTAAACACAATCTAGATATCTCAATAAATAAATGGATATTTAATATGACCATTTCTTTAAACAGATATTTTTTTCCCGTGGAGATTAGGACATTAAGATATGAAATTATTTGAGTTTAAAGCACAGTAACTAAGTTCCGTAGAGAACACCTGTAGAAAGGTAATGTTTCCTGTCAAAAGTCACCTTTTCTAGGACACTTTTCCACTCGAGCACACATACCACACATTACAGAAGTAGCATCGACTCCCGCAAATCTTTACAAGTGTTCTTTGCAACCCAAGACTGGAAATGTTCCCGAGTGGGGATCCTGCCGACTGTTAGGCCGTACCTGTGTCTCGGGGATGATGGGGCTGTCTTCCGGGGACGATCTGAAGAAGGTGGACAAAGGCGACGACACGATGATAGGACTTGGTCTCACAAACCCGCTGAGGTCACAGCTGGGAATGTCGTTCTCTTCTTTCTTCATGACCAGGGTGTCCATCACGTAAAAGACATTCCACGGGATCCACACCGTGTGATACTGAGTGAGGAACGGGGAACGCTCAAACACCAAGGTCAGAGAGGCGCCACCGTTGGCCACCAGGTCAAACCTAAGGACAGACCACACGCGCTTAGTGAGGCGCCACCGCACAACGGCTGTCCTAGGGAGAGCCGCCACCGCACCAACGCTCTCCTCAAGTCAAGAGGACTCCTAAAGAAAAGAATCTCCCTCCCTAATTTTCATATGAAACATCTCCAAATCTATGCCCAAATGGAATTACACAGCCGGCACTCACACACCCCTCTTCTGTCCACCAACTGATCGACTAGCATTTCCCTAATTGTTTCCCATCTGTCCTTTGGAACTATCTGAATTCAAGTTAAAGACACTAAGAAAACATCACCAATAAATATTTCACCATGAGTCTTCGGAGAAAAAATACATTCCCCAACAGAACCACAATATTATATCACGCCTCAGAAACATGGAATAAACTCCTGTAGCGTGTGAGGACGTGACTTGTAGTCTCTGCCTGTTGCACCATCCTAGGTTTTTAAGATTCTAGGAGCTGTTGCTTTTCTATTAAAAAAAAGACAATAAAAGATGATGGGTGATGGGCAAACGCTCGGGCTTAGGCTGAAAGTATTTCAAACAGAGACACGGTGAAGCGACCGACTCACATTCCATCCTGGCGGGTAATAGTATATCCATATTCTGAGTAATGTAAAAATGAGACATTGACACCAATGAGCGGGGTCCCATCAGCAGTCAGCACTTGGCCTCTAATGACGGACGCGAGGCTGTGGGAAAAGCACAAGAGTTTGAATGAGTATCTGTCCTCTCTGGCCAACATCATCACGATTTATAGATAATTCAGGCTAAAGGTAAACTATTACCATCATAAACTAATCAAGCGCTATTCACAAAAAAGGAGAGACAAAAAAAAATCCCCCCAAGACAATGTGCCTTTAAATTTAGTGTAATTTACTTGTCTAAATGCCCGGTGTTTACCCTGAGTTTTAATTTGTTGCAATCTGTTTTTTTTTTTTGGGGGGGGGGGGTTGGGGGGTAGGGAGAGCAATACCAAGACTAACAATTTAAGAGAGGAATTTTAAAATTTATCCATGATGCCTTTTTTTTTTCATATATCATATGTATGACATGGTTGCAGAAAAGTATACTTGCCAGTTAATTCTGGGGGCAGTCTGTGAAGTCTGCTGGGACCACGAAGTACAAGATTTAAGGGGGCAATAAGAAATGTGTGTGACAACTTCTAAGCCGCTGCTGGCTCTCGGTGCCGTGCCTTAATGCTCTGCAATGACTACAGACCCAGGAGTTCTGTGTAAATCATCTTCTTGTGCTCGGGGAGACTCAAGACACCTGCTTTCAGTTACTGGTTGATTTTCGGGTCATTACTGCTCTGTACAGCAGTCAGGCAGCTTATGTCACGGCAATCCCACTGCCATGCCGTTAGCGGCTCCATTACATTAATTCATAATTTATATTATTTAGTGAGCTCAGCTAAAAGAGGAAAAAAAAAGTGCACTTCTGTTTTGCCTTTTGGGGTCTTTTCATCGTGCCTTCTGAAATGTTTCCAACTGCGCTTGGAAAATCAACTGGTTAAATGAAGATTTATTGACTCCTTAACAGGATGTCCTGTTACGTCTCAGGCACTGGAATTGGCAACATATATAAACTGTGTCAAAAATGCTTGAAATGTGAAGTCTGATGAAGAATTTCCCAAAAAGAAAAAAAAAAATATATATATATATATAAGCAATTTTCTCAAACACACACTCATCAACATTTCAAAGAAAGTGTTCAGAACTGTTCTCCAGAGTCTATATAAGGAAAGCAGGCATTAACCTCTTATTGAACGGACTTTCTCCAGGGAGCACGTGGGTGCTATCCGATCCAATCAGGAAGCTGATTCGATCATAGAAGGACTTGGCAGCTTGCTGAGATGGTGTCTGTAGACTTTGGCTAATGATATCCTGAGGATCAGGCAAGCCCCGGCAGTAGGGCTGATTTTGGCAGGAACTCTGGAGGCAGCAATCAGGATCCATGCAGTCAGCGAGTCCGTCTGCGGAGAGAGCAGCAGACAACTTAAAGACCGGGGTCCTTAAGCTGCAGTGTGCAGTGACTTGTGCCTACTGGTGGGTTTGTTTAATGGCGACTGATTTGCCAGTGCGCATCCGACGGCGAGCTCTCTGAGGCGTCCTTTCTGAAGCCAGATGAAATACAGATCTAATACTCGCATCTGCTTTGACAGAAAGTGAAGGTCTAGATTGAGGACGGTTGAAAGTCGTTCCCTCTGAGTGAGGAATATGCCTTACTCATCAGAACACCTTCTCAGCAGGAAGGAATCAGGACTAGCTGACAACACAATGACTGAAGCCGTCTATAGTTTGGAAGACTGCGCTAGGAGTTCCCATAGTAAGCACGTGGAGAAATTACTCTCCATCGGGGAGTAAGGCATTCCTCAAACTGGCCTTCTACTTTGCTCTCCTAAAAACGCAGTCATTAAGAAAAAAAAAAGAAAGAAAGAAAAGCACGGCAAATGTGTAGTAGTCACGACAATGGAGTTTATAGAAAAAAAATCAGCCGATGGACCTATGATTTGCAACATGGACCTGTGACAGTTGTGACGTAAGGGAGCATGGATGCGGCCACCAATGTCTTCTCCAAGGATGTTACAAAGGAGCATTTGTTGGCTCACAGTTATGTGCCCCGTCCCCATACATGTTCCTTTAACAAGGAATGGCATGCTAGTCAGGGGTCTCCAAAGACCCAGAACATGCTGACAGTGCATGCTGACCCAGTGCGTTGTCAGTTTTAGAAAGTTGGGCCGCGAGTAGCGCGACACCAAGCCCATAATATTGAATAGTGATAATAGATGATCATGTTGCTAGTTTATTATTTACTCTAGGACGTCACTCGCCTGTGTAATGAAAAGGCTACTTTAGATGGTGTGACATGTTATGACAACAGATGTTATGACATCATGTTTCAGGATCACCGTCTCTCTTTTGGCTTAGGAGACCAGGGCAGGCGACTGCCTTATATGCCTAGGTTTCTGTAAGACATTTAAGACAGCTGTACAGTTGGGCAGACAGTCTGGTGATGCAGCTCTCAGAAGGCATCTCCACCATGAAGTGAGGCACGAATACACTCGGTGTGAGGCACATCACCAATCACGGGACATGTCAGTGGCTGTCAGTCACTTCCATGACACTGCCCTTTAAGCCCATTGTTTATTCACCAGCTGAATGCATAAAACTGGACCCACTCAGTAACCGTATCTCTTAGAATAGATTAACAAAAAATAGTGTGAAGATATACCAAACATTCTTGGCTAACCGACAAGACAGTTTCAAGCTACTTTCCACTTAACATAGCAGGCCGTTCGGTGACCTTATGGAAAACTCAAGATGAAAACATTTAGATGAAGTCTATGTTTTATTTATATAAGTTTAAAAAAAACTACTTTCATTTTTTAATAACTAATCTAATCATTGGTTGGCTTTTATACCGTAAGTAGCTGGCCCTTTCATAATGTGATGGCAAACTGAGCCAGACGGAAGGAACTCTGCTGATGAGCTCAGAAGATGGCCTGTGGATGAACGTGCCTGGCATGTTCCTGCATGACCTGAGGGTGTTCCCCAGCGCCCACATGGTGCACAGAGAGAATTAACTCATGGGGTGTTTCCTCTGACCTTCACACGCCTGCTGGAGCACACTCAGACTGTTCTCACGCGCCATGTAAATAAAATGCGCTAAATTATTTTACAAAAGATACAGATTAAATTTCTAGTCCAGGAGGAGGTCCAGGACAGCAGCACAGGAAAGGTCAGAAGCAAGAGATGGACGGGGCCGGACCTTGAGTCACTGTCTACTCGAAGGAGAATTCTGCTGGCATGGCGTTGATCCCCGTTATTCCTGCCCCTTCCTCTGATTTTCACTCCAGTATTTGGCTCCTCCAGCTCTCAGATAATGCGCATGCACACACGCACTCCCTTCACTGTGGTTCAGAAATTTCAGGGGACCTAATGTGTCAGGATGACTCTCAGGGACGACTTGGAGGCTCTCTGCCTCTCTGTCCCTGGTGCCCACCTGTGAAGCAAGGATTGCTGCAAACATCTTTCTGCCATCACGGGACCTATCTGGAGCTCAGTCCATCCCAGAAGAAGCTTGGGCACAAACCAACAGGTCATACACACAGTGGCCTCTGTAGGGTCTCAGTTCTAGAAGCTAAGTCATTTCTTTATACTTTTAAGTCTATGTGGGTTGGATTTTTCTTAAAGCCTCAAAACTGGAAGAAACTGAGCATATCCACAGATACCAACTAAATTCTCTTCATTATTTCCCTTGAAGTTGGGGGAAATGAGTTCAGTTTGGGGTACTTGCCTTATATTTATGATGTTGGTCTCTTTTTACCTAAGTATTTTAAATGTTTGTGATAATTGCTATCCACATAGCAATGAATGGGTCTGAGTTTTTGATGAGATATATTACATATTTTTTCCTTATAGCTGCCATTTTTATGTAGATGTTATATATTCCTGAGGTCATGGGTTGTTGATTATTTGAAGCAGCATGCATATTTATTTTACAAAAATCTAAAACCATGTGCTAAGATAATCAAATGATACTGAGCTTTGAAATTTCATATAAATTCATCAAAATATTTCTTTCCTACTGAAAAAGCCATAAAGATGAAAAATGTCTAAATATTTCTTGATATTTCTAGTGGAAGAAAGATGAGGCCATGCTGAGACCTCATTCTTCACAAGGATATATTATAATAATAATGTAAGAGATAGGATTTTTCCCCCCCTCCATCTCTCTTGAAATAGAAGCATAGATTTCAAGACTTAAGTTCTCTCAAGCAGTAGATGATTGGCCTATTGCTTCAATATCAATTTTGGCTTAAAAACTCCTTAAAACCTACTTTATCCACTTAATGGTGATTTATTATTATATGTAGAGTTTTTATGGTGACCATTTAGTATATGCTCTATGATCTATGCCATTTAGGTACTCTTTGTGAGCAGATTTAGGGCATAACTACTTGTGAGTGAAAGAGTAATTAAACACTGCTATTTTATAGTCCTGTATCCCCCAACCACACCTTCAGAAGGAAAAGTAATTTCAAATATTATATTTTATCTCCATTAATCTGGTAAATTAAGAGTTAACTACTCCCCCATCTCAGTTCTCCCACAGTGTCTTCCCTTAGGCAATATATGGTACAGCTGCCAAAGAGGAACTCTCAGATTTAGTCATTCATCTTTGTTAGTTTATAAAAAGCAAATGTACATCTGGCGTGTAGTCTGCAGGTCATAAAACTGCACGAGATTGACACCTTCTGAACTAATCAGTTGGAAATGCATTTTTACAAGCCTCTCTGCTAACATCCATCAGAGAAAGAATCTCATTTTCAACAGGCAAGATGCAGGGACACAGTGTTTGTTATTTTTTTTTTCTGCAGAGTTTATCAGTAACTTGCCCAAGCAAGTGACGGATGGTTATGAATCTGACTTCCTATAACTTGAGAAGACATTTTTCATTCGTTGCCTGCACTCATAGCGGAGAGGCCTATCTGGTACAACTAAGTTGATTACCCACTTGCCCAAATGTATAGTGTTGCAAAATTGTCTCCACGGAATAGCTTCTCAACATCACTGGCACTCCATGGCAGGCCCGAGAATGTTAGGCTGGCTCACATCTGCTCTGCAATAAAGCCGTAGCTAATAGCATTAATCATAAAATCCACTAAAATTCAGAAAATTTCAAAGCTCTTTGAGTATCAGTCCAAGAGCCCTTCTTCACGTTAGGCTGCAAAGTAAATGGCCATATGATATAAAGTAGATAGATAATTTGTGCTTTCCTCCACTCGATTCTTAACATTATTGCTTTAGTTATCTTCTGTTCCCTATTTTCTTGTCTTTCTTGAGGCACTTCCATTGGTCTTTAAGAGTGGTTAGTTAGCTTATTTTATAGATTGCCAAATAGTAGGTATTTTAGGTATTTTGTGAGTCATGCAACTATGGCACAGTCTCTGCAGAAGAGCTTTGACAATAGATAGATGGATGAATGCAACTACTGAGTTTCAATAAAAGTTCATTTACAAATACCAGCCTGTGGCCACAATGACCAACCTCGGGTCTTCCTTCCAGGCTTCTACTCTGTCCTATTTTTAGAACATTTTCAATCATGCTTGCTATATTTTTTTTTGACATATTCAATCAGTACACCTTTGTTCAAATTATAAAAACTCCGACTGCAAGCTTTTCCTAGATTACCTTTGATACTGGCTTTGTTCTTTTTCCCCAAAACTCTCCTTTTTTTCTTAGAAGCATGGACTTTTAAGTTGTTTTCATAATTTTTATCCACTGACAGGGAAAAAAAAAAAGCTATAAACTTTCTCTTTTCCGTAAAGATAATTGCTGTCTACCACCCTTCCCTACATGGTCCAGATCCCGAGGCCGTTTTGTGGCTGTGAGATTTTTATCAGCGTGTGGTGCACAGTTCATGACTATTTCCTGTAAAAACTTGGTAGCACGTGGGGGCCTCCCTTCTACACTGCTGAATGAGACCTGACTTTCAGGACATCCTTGGTCTACGGGAACCGGCTGCTGGATTTGTGTCTTCAGGTTCACATTCCTATGATTTCCATGCTGCTGACTCCAGTGTGGACTTTTTTTGACCTATGAAAGAGCCTGCCTTCTAGATATTTCCAACTGCACAGAATACAGGCATCTAAAGCCAAACATGTCTCACTCATTTATCAAGTCTCAATCACATCTTTCCCTTCCTCTCCAGATTGGATCCTTCCCCTGTGTTTCTAATGTCAACGTAGGTACCAACCAATCTACCCACATTACTTTTTCTTTGTGAAAAAATTATATTTATTATTGTGTGTATGTGTGTGTGTGTGTGTGTGTGTGAGAGAGAGAGAGAGAGAGTATGTGAGTGTTCATTGGCTGACCGAGTAGATAAAGTTGTTTGGCCAATGAATGGGCTTCAGGGACTACCTGTGTCTGACTCCTATATGCATGTACTACCACACCTGGCTTTAAAACCTAAGTTGTTTTGCTCTAGAGACCAAAGTTAGGTCCTTGACTTCGCAGGCAAGAACTTTATCTAAATAGGTAGAAATGACCCTCAGAAGGGCTCTCTGGTTTACCTTTATCATTCTTTCCCACCCCCAGACACTACCTATCCCTTGAGTTCTTGTATGTTTTTCATTCCAATAGTTACTTAAAAGTTCTCCTCATCAACTGGATATTAAGATTCCAATTCTATGGTTATAGAATTATAAAAGAAATTGGAAGAAACTATGACACTATGTAAATCTATGTATACTCTTACAAAGCTCTTGTTCAAAAGCCACAGCTAGAGTTTGTGAATGAAAAGCTAAATTTCATAAAACATTATTTCACATTAGTTGAGAAGATGTCCACATGTTGAAAGACGCCATACATTGCAGAGTCAGCGGATAAGTAAAACCACACACACAAATTCACCACACATTTTGATGTGCCCAGAGAAAAGTAAAACCAACAAAACCCCCAATTACTAACAGTGTTCTCTCAGTCAAATTAATCAGGACATCCATGTGAATAGCAAAAAAGTTCATGGTAACCAAATCACTAACCTAAAGTAGGAATCCACTGTCTTCCAAACCAATAATCATTTTTTCCCAAGTCAATATGCTACCACGATACTGCAATGCCTACAGATTTTGAGTGCCCTTCCACGTTCTGATAATACTAGGAGTCTCTGGGAGGAAGTACTTACCAATCTTTGATGATTCTGCTTGCTTTTAACCCCTCTCCCTCTCTCACCAATGCTATTACCCACCATTTTATTTACTTAGCTCGTATTTTTAAACTTGCTTCAGTTGCCTCTCTCTGAAATCTGGAGGTTGCTTCTGAGAAGGGGATCGACATTGATTCCATAGAGTGGAGATCTTTGTCAGGAACCTTATCAATGAGGAAAACTACCCTTAGCTTCAAAAAGCCACAGCCACCCAGAGCACAGGGCAGCTGTTTGAACCTTAAAAAGACATGGCCGCTGGTTTACTTCCTATGAATGCACAGTATCAAGAGTGACTAAGGACGCATGGCTCCATCTATTCTATTAGTGGTCTCTTTTTTTTTTTTTTTTTTTTGAAGCTCTTGTTCAACTACGTCTCAAAGACAACAGGGAAGGAAAGACCCAAGAAGGCAAGGAGTGGTACCTTCTTAGGGAGATCAGGATTTCAAGGTTCTTTATAATCAGACAGGGGCCTGTCACAGAGGGGAAAGAAAAATAGTGTGGAGTAGAAGAAAAACCCTGGCTGAAAAAGACATTTAGCTATTTCCCTATATGCAGTTTTTTAAATTCTAAACATTTATTTATTTCTTATTGATGTACATTCATTATACACTGTGATGGATTCCATAAAGACATTTTAATATAAGTCTATCACATACTTTGACCACATTATCACCTTTTATCTATCTTTTTTACTTTGGGAATGGTAAGCCACTTCCCCTGTCTTTTACAAAGACTGTGTTCGAACTAGACAAGAGCGCGTGCACACACACACACACACACACACACACACACACACACACACGCCTAGAGAGGGCGAGGGAGGGAAGGAGGGAGGAAGAGAGAGAGAGAGAGAGAGAGAGAGAGAGAGAGAGAGAGAAACTTTGTTCAATTTCTGACTAGGGCCAAATCAACCTCTTCACCCGTCCCTCTCCTTTTCTTTAGCTAATTGGCTAGATTAAGTGACTTCAAGGCATGGCGGATAATTCAACACTGTGACATCAACTTAGACTATGGCTCTGCAGTGTTCCACTCTCCATGTGTCTTAGGATTTCTGGTATTGCCCTAATTGTAAGCCTTTTGATCTACTGTTCTTCTGTCATACTATCTTGAATAGATAGATCATGTACCTTGATTTGGTTTTTGGTATGAAAGATACTGTGTCTCCAGGGCACTAGCATGTGTATACAGCAAAGAACTGTCTAGCTTGGGCTACCAGGCACCCTGGTTACCACCTCAGGGTATGATGAAGCCAGCCCTGAAATTCCACTTTTGAAGAACAACAAAATTAGGTTAGGGACAGCCATGCAAATTATGTGAGATAAGTAGAGAATTCACAGGAGGTGTTCTATCAGCTCAGATTTCCCCTCAGAGAGAGAGAGAGGCCTAGAGATAGCAGAGTTTCATGCTAATAAGAATAAACAAAGGGGAATGAGGCCAATTCACAGTTGATAAATTTTTGAGGAAAAGGAAAAACCTCCTTGGCTGATGATAATACCAAAGAGTTGATTAGCCCCTAAATTACTCTGCCTTGTCTCTACAGACTTGGCCCTGCAGTTTGCATCCCTCTGAGAGCCAGTAGGACCTCCTCAAAGTAATCTCCTTGTAGAAGACAAAAATCTGAAATGCACAATCAAGGAGAAAGAGTCACTCTCCTCCCCTGGCACCAGAGACAATGGGGTTGGTGGTCTTTGGGGGAAAGCAAGGAGTTAGGTTGCCATCTGGACTATGTCTCAGAGAGGATTAATGCTGCCATTTCTGTTAAGCACGTGATCTAGAGGAGTTTGGGCAACAAGGTATTATTAGCTGGGAAAGCTGTGAGGGTTTAAGAGACCGCTGCAATCAATTAGGAGCAGGGGAGGGAAAGGAGGCTTTTATATAGGGTTCCTGGCTTGTCTTGATAGCCAAGGGAAATAACACCAGGAAGACAGTCAAAGTTTACAAAGACAAAGTTTACAAGCCGCCTGTGGCGGAGGGTCATGCGACTGCAGAGGGCTGCCGGCCAAGTCACTGGAGACGAGGAGTGAGTTAGTCCTTTTTCTACCTGTCTTTTGACAAGCTTCTATGCCTAGTCAAGATAAGCACTCCAGAAACAAAAGAAAGAAAACCAAAGAGCAACAACGGCTTCAACGTGCTGAGCAACCTGTATACTTTTTTTTTTTCCCCACTTAAAACCTTCAGAACTGTTTATTCCTGTTTTGTAGGTGAAGCGATTGCAGAGATCTGAGTTACAGATCGGGTGGAAGGGCCATGTCGTTACTACACAGTGGTGTGGAGATCTGCCTGCCTCTACGGTCTGCACCCCAAAGCTGGCACTGCTGTCCAGGATGACCGCCTCCCAGAAGAGCAGGAGCGGAGGGCTCAGGAGGTGACCTCGGACCCAGAGAGCAAACTCCACCGACCTCCAAATACACTCCTAATGGTTGGTCAAAATGAAACAGCTGTCAGGGACAACTATTCCATCACCAACTCCCACATTCTTGTCTCTGAAATTAAAACACAATGGCATGAAGGGGAAATAATTATTCCTTGCCGAAGGCTTAAATTGGGTGGAACGTCGCAATCCTCCCCCCCACCCCCACCCCCGGAGGGGTGTAAAGTTAAGGATAAAAAGACAGTGGAATCCAGCTTCAAGGGGAAGATGCCCCGTTGCAGCCCCCCCCCCCCCCCCACTGGTTTTCAACAGAAGAGCCTGAAAAAACATGCCTGGCATCTTCTGGCTTGTTTAGTTATTAAAATACTTCTGTGGCACTCCCAGCGTGCAGTGCCCTAAATACCACTGTTGAGCAGGGTAGTCACCCGGGAATTGGAACAAGAAATGGAGAACAAGGGACATCACACAGGAGCTCAGTTTACCTTGCCTTCTCCATGAAAGACAATCATCAGGCTTTCATTTCAGGAAAATCAGGGCGTGCCATCAATCCGTCAGCTCTCATACGTTTTCAATCAGTGTAAGCTACGGGGATCTGTTCTTTTCAACAGATAGCTCTGCAGTCACCGTAACTTAGGAACCTAGGCTCTAGCACACTCTGTTTTCAGTTTCAGCCTTCCTTACCTCCTTCATTGTCCTTGCTGTCTGTACAGAGAGTCTCCATGGCTACATCACAGCCCGCTCCTCTCCACCCTGGCTGGCAAACACAGTGCCAGCCGTTTTGGTCCAGGGTGCATCTCCCATTGCTGTTGCACAAGCCGGGGCAACCCTCTGTCAAGACAAGGAAGGAAGACACCAGTGATTGGAGGATTGAAAGAGTTTGCACCTCAAGGAAACAGATACAGGACACTTAGTGGGGACAGGCCTTTATAAACAGCACAAAGACTGTAATTGCACATGGATCGAGACAGCAACGCTATCCAAGGAATCTAATTCTTATCCAAGTGGCATCTTTGATTGGCCTGACCCTTGAGACACCACTTACCTGTGGTAGGACAGAAATATAAGCAACAATCCACTAAATAGCTTCAGGCCAGACAAAATTAACTCGACATCTCCCCCCCCCCCCCCCGCCCCCTTTTCACAAAGCACCAAGGTATAATACATGGTTTGGAAAAGCATCTCAGGGAATTAATTTCAGAACCCCTTGTTCCAATTTTTAATCTGTTGCAAACATTGTTAGAAGCTTCTTTTTAAAGCACCTTGTTGCTTTAAAAAAAAAATTCCCTTAAATCCAAGAGCATGAGCATGGACATGAGTTTATGAATGATGTTAAAAAGAGAACATTAATTTTATCTGGCCTCAGAGTTGCCGAATATTCATGTGAAATTACAGTGTATTAAATAATTGCACAAAGTATAGGTCAGTATTAATGATTATACTTTATGCCAAGAGTACATTCCTTTTCACAGAATAAGCAAAGCCCAGGAAATAGTGAAGCAGCTTTAGCATCTATTCTAACAAACATTAGGATTCAGGCTGCATACGGATGGGACAGGACCAACAGGATTTCCAACTAAATGTAATAGCTGTGCATATTTGATTACTTAGGACGGACAAAATGAAATACCATAAGGACCACAATAAAACATTGATAGACTGAACAAAAACACGGTAGTGACGTGCTTCAAGACAGATAGCGAGGAGTGATATTGTGTGACAATCTCCCTAAGGCTTTTATGCTGTTACCTTTATATCCTATCTTGTCTGCTTTTATGGGCAAGAAGGGAAAATTTGGGAAACAATTAATTTAATATATCCAAAATCGATAGTTGTTTCAGTCTAACATAATTTTTTTTCCCCAAAAAAAACCAAATTTTGTCACTGCCTACTGATGACATCTGGCATGCAGCCAACATGATCCACTTATGAAGGATGGCACTCAGGTGGAATCTGAAGTCCCTGTTTATGAGTGTGACATGACGCTGACAGAAGCAAGGATTAAATGCTCTCAACTCTGGCAACGGTCTGGCGAGTAATCAAGCCTCTTTGGCTAATTATTAGTCATTTGGTGTAAAATACACGTAACGAAATACTCGCTCCAGCAATTGGGGGAGAACGCCCTACTTGTGTTGGCCTTAAGATCTAAGGGAGCAGCATGCTGTAACATGTTTTAAGTGTATTAAAGTGACTGTTCATGTGTTGGGTCTCCAGTGTGGAACTTGAGAAAGAAATATCTCAAAGAGACGTTGTTCTGTCTCTTAAGCTCTTCCAGTTACAGGAAGAAGGCTGTCTTCTGACAAAATTATACTTATGGGTAGCATCAGGCCAGGATGAGGTTAACTTTGCTGCTTGCTTTGTTTTCAGACAGTTACCGTCTGTGTCTGTGGACTAGTCAATACATAAAAGGTAGGTTTTCCTCACGGGTGTGTTCTTTTGTGGCTTTTATTGAAAGAGAGGTGCTCAACAGCCCCACTGCCAATGTGCAGCCGTCACTGCTTGCACATGGAGTTCTGATGGGAAAGCCTGGATATTGCCATGAATATTTTCATATTCTAATGGAAAGCACAAACAAGGAAAAGAAAATAGGTACTCTGAGGAGGAGGGGGGAGGGGTTGGCTCTGCGTACAACACTGTTCCACCTATTTCTACGGTAACTGAAGACGGGAGACTCTGCTGTTTTTGTTTGTTTGTTTGTTTTTCTTTTTTTTCTTTCTCTCTTTTTTTTGCTGAGCAACGTTATCAGTTCTGATGCAACAGCATGCAGGAGATTTTGTAGTTTTAAAGAATAACAAAGTGCAGATTATGGCACATTTAGAAAAAGCCAAAGAAATTTCCGTCTGCAGATAAGTAAGAACTTGCTCCTTCTCAATATGTGTTAGTCAGAATGTTCTTTAGAGTGACAATTCTCATTAGGTGATAAGAGTATTTATGATTCTTTAGTTAATAATTTAAAGCTCATTGGTTGAGTTACTAACAAGGAAGATTTTGAAGCAAAATAAAATAAAAACAAAACAAAACAGCAAATGTACTGCAATCTTCAGTTTTGGTTTTAGTGAAAACTATTGTTTTACATAGGAATGAAATCTGTGAGAACCCAAAATTATAAAAATGAGACACAGACAAGTTAAGTCTCGAGACTTCAAATCTGAAGCATTTCCCGTACTGTAAGCCCAAGTTACAATTTACAAAATAATATGCATGAGAAAGTCTGCTGTTCCGCCTAGCACGATCTGATACAGAGCTCTACAGTTATCTATGCAGATAAGTCAACAAAGAGTAGATATACAGTACCTTTAACTATCTTATCCAAATAGTGAGCTTGGGAAGTTAAAAAGGAAAAAGAGAACAGACAGACATTTCAGAAGTGTCACATGGGACAAGGAAACTTTCAGAATTCACATGCAAATCGCGCAGCTGCAGCTGACATAGGACTCACATTACATGACAGAGAGGTACTCGGAACCTTCTATAAATGACCTGCGGTCAATTTTAGTCAGTGTGGTCGTGAGGACAGGAACCACGCAGCACTTTAAAGGTCAGTTAGCAGGGAATGCTAACACCTCCCTGCACGGACAGCTTAAGTAGAATCAGTGGAATCGGGTCTTTCTGGCTAAAGAATTTTGGAAATGTACTGCTCTGAGATCTACAGTGATCAAAGTTTCACAATTAATAAACAGGCAAGAAGGAAAAGAAAGAAATTAAGACTCGTCGGACAAATATATATCCGTTCTACTTGGAAAGGGCGTATGAAGCCCTGTAGGAGTCTCCAATAGCCTTTGGATCTGCGCCAGATGGACAAGCTGCACCGCATACGTAGTCCATTAGGAAACAGGAGTGGTCCAAGGCATTGTCTCAAGGACCATCTTGAAATAGGCTCTGTTTCTCTCACCAAGCTTACGGGCCCAGCCGGACAAAGACTGTGTGTCTTTAGCTGCCCTGGCTCCATTTATCTTTACTGGACCTCTCCCCCTTCACTCATGGTAGAGACCTAATATATTCTTAATAAGCCTCAAATCTTCTTGCTTTGTCAAAATTCATACATCTTTAATGATCTAAAATTGCTTTTCAAAGATGCTTATGTTGATTATTTTTCATTACTGACATATGCAAGTGGCGGCGGTACTCTTAACAGAATGATTTAAATTGTAACTTTCACATGAGACACTCAGGTCTGCTGGCTGTGTCATGTGGGCAAACAAACTCATAAGTGGTTTTGACACATCTGTACTGTGTGTATAAAAGGATTCTTCACTTTGCCACAGGATTCCATTAGAGGCTTCTGAATTGCCTTTAAAAATAAGAACGTTTACGGCTAATTGACAATACATTACAAGGGAAATTAAGGTGAAAGAAGAAATGGCATTAGGTCCTACTCTGCAATCATAACCTAGTAAGTATAATTCATCTCGTAAGCATTAAAAGAGAAATCTATGACTGCATCATGACTCTGATACTAATTTTTAATAATTCCTTTTAAGTGTTATGTAATCTGCAAGAGTTCTGTAATAGCTCATTTGATGATCTGCACATAATCATAATGAAAGTAATAACCTAGAGTTTCCAATTCAGGCAGGGCACTATTTCCAAGGGAATTCTTAGTTTATAAAAATTAGTTACACTGATTACAGCTGGAGAGTATATCATGTGTTTTTATATCAGATGTGCTATAGTTAATGCAATCAAAATAAAGAACACAGTTAAATTCTGATCTAGAATTTTTTTTTTCTGAACAGAGTCCATTATGAAAAGCAATGGATTGATTTACAGTAAAGATAGGGTTATCACTGGGACAGAGGGATACCAAGAAGAGGAGCTGAAATTAGAAAATGCATTTGAAAACACACAGTAGATCATAATTACCACAACATTTAAATTATTAGCCATATTTAACATAGCATTCATGAAAAACTAAAAAGCAGCTATAAAAACATTTGTAATGAGTAGAAGATACCAAGATTTATCATTTTCATATCATAAGGAAAATATTAAATATCATAAAGAATCACTGATAGCCTAAAACTAAGAAAAATCAAAATAATAACCAATCTTTTATTTTAAAGAGTGAAATTTGTAATGAATGCCTCAAAATCATGATTCTAAATAATGAAGTTGAAAGGAAATGTGGAGACATGAAGTTAAAATGATTATTAAAATAATTGCAACAATAAAAACATCATTACAGAAGCCAGTACAGGAAATAATCAGAAAAATGCAGGCATGTTGTAAGAAGCCATTAGGAATAATAATCATAAAAGAAATACAGTATAGTTAAAAATTAATACACCCAACAGTTGCTGAGATGCACATGAAGTTGCAGAGAAATTACTTTAAAGGTGTGTTTTAACTTAAAGTTAAAAAAAAATACCAACTAGTTCAACTAGATTTTAAAGTTCTTTTTTTTCCCCCTGGAATAGGTGGGTGCTAGTTATTAAAAAACTATTATTATGTTTTATTCACAAAATACTTTCCTTGGCATTTAGAGCATTTAACTTTCAAGAGGCTCCATGGAGAAGACAGGGAGAGAGGATTTCCACACTTCTTGTAGGGTGACGATTCTTAAACCTTATTTTGGGTTTTGCACCAGAGAGAGGCGGTGACAGATGGGCTCTGAAAACTTACACACACTGCAAATGCAAGTGGTCAAGATAATTCCAGATTCTTCTATGAGCTCTGCTTCCAAACGCCTTGTAGGTTATGAGTACTTGGCAGGCACGTTAACGGCTCCCACATTTCTACCCCCGACCCAAGTCGGTCTTTAAGGTTAGAGCAGCTTCAGAATGACCTTAGAACAAGCATGGGGTGCCCTGCTCCCAGCTTGCTTCCTCAAT